CCGTCAGCTCAGCGAGGGGCGGGCGGAGCAGGAGCAGGCCCGGGGGTGTCGGGGGGGGCCGGGGCCAGCCTGCGGAGGGGCCGCCTCTCCAGTGACCTGCAGATCGGGGCTCCGGGCGAGGGCGGGGGCAGGCCCACCAGGGGTGCCGGATCCCGCAGGGGCCCCTGGGGGCAGCACCCAGCTTTGTCCCACCAGTGTCCGCCAGCAGGGCCGAGCAGGCGGGGCGGAGATCTGCACTGGCTTACGGCACCTGCCCTTGGACTTCAGGACACGCCAGACAGCCCCACCCCGGGGTCGGCCACCGGCCCTGGACACGCACCCACCCCCCCGCTGCCAGGCTGGGCTGGGCTGTGGGAGCCGGTGGCCCGTCTGTGAGTGACAGGATGACAGAGCCGGGTGCACCTGTGCACTGCGAGCGCCCCATGGGGCGTCAGCTCACGGAAATGGGCATCGAGTGAGGGTGGCGGCTCCAGAATGTGGCCCACGGCAAGTGCTGCAGCCACCCCCAGACCTGGACACCCCACTGTCTCCCCACACCTTCTCCCGATGCCACCTCCCCTCGTCACGGCCACACCATCGAGTCAGACACAACGCGCCCCCCGGCTTCCGCGTGTCCGGCCAGCACCCAAGGACACCTGATGGAGCCCAGGACACGGCCGCCCTCGGCCAGAGCCCGGGGCCGAGGGACCGCCTTCGGCAAGGGCCCAGCCGGCACTGTTACAGAATTGGCAGAGCTGCCCCTGAGCCAAGCCGCCCACTCACCGAGGAACGGCCGTCGGTGACCCGGTGGCAGACGCGAAGTCACACGCGTCCCCGGGACCTGACGGCCGGAAGAACTGCGCCCCCAGTGCTGGGGGTGACGGCGGCCACGACGCGCGTAGGCCCCGGCGTCGCTCCCCACGCACCCCACGAAGATGCTCGCCTCTCCTGTAAGCACCGACCCCCAAGCTCTGACACCCCGTGTCGCCTGGTCCCCAGGCTGTCACCGGTGGGGAGCGAGGCCCTTGCAGAGCGGGCTGGCCTCGGGGCTGGGGGCCTCAGCTTCCTCTGTCCCCGGCCCCGGGGGGGCGG